GTAATCCCAGGGGATTCACTGGGTCTACTGTGAGTCCTCATCACCGTGAAAATAAGGTTCACGAAGCATGCTTGACAGTTGCAGGCAGATAAGGACCTCTGTTTGGCCAGGTATAGACATTACACTTTTACTGCTATAAGTAAGCAGAAGCCAGTCGATGCCCATAACGTAACAGAAGTTCAGCACACAAAATCAGTCTATACCTGTAACAGAACAGAAGTTTGGCATGCATAGATTGGTTTAAAAATGGCAGACCCCAGTCTAAGATTTGTCCCCCACCACCAAAAAGCAAATGTGTGTTATGTTCTCTACTGATCCAAACTACGCTAGCTATTGTTTCTGTCTGTACTACTTCATGAGCCCTTCACTGCAAATTAAGTACAAAGCATCTGTGTTTCTTTCACGGAGTGCTGACAGTGTATGAGCATACATCATATAAATCATGTGCAGTGGGGCAAGAGACCATTTATGTCAGTGGTTCTCAATCTTTTAATACCCAAGGTACTCCTAGAGAAATTCAAGACACCCCTCAGAAAATGTTAGCTCTTAGTTTTCACTGCCTTTTTAAAAGATCCCATTGCTGTCTGATTCCCCCCAGCTGAACCGAAGAAGGCTCTTATGTACTTGAGCAGGGGTGATTGGTGACCTTCTTAGGTCCCTTCAAAGCCTAGTTTTATGCATTTTTTTTATTTGAACATCATCCCTACTTGCATCGTGGTAAGTGTAGATATTTTTACAAAATTCACCCTCTAGATTTACACACCCTGGATTGGAGTTTCAGAGCTTTCCCTATGATTGGATGAAGTAGTACATAACCATATGTGTGTGTGTGTGTGTGAGTGCACGCGTGCGCTTTTTATGCATCTTCAACTACCTGTATGTGCAGGTGATTGGAAGTGCACTAGTAGATGTGGATTGCATGGTAGACATCTGCATGAATTGGAATGGATTGGCTTGAAATGAATTCCAATTATGCACTTATGCACATGACTGGAATCTGTCACTTTTACATGCAGATGATAATGCACAAAAACAACAAACATAGTTTGGGCTCCAAATGACTCTTTTGACTTCTTTTTCCCATTGCTATCTTATTACACATATACATAGTAATGCATACTACATGTACAGCTGTCATCTTTAAGTATTGCAAAGTAGGGCTGTGCGAAGCTTCGGTCTCTGATTCGATTCGGCAAAGATTTGGCCCGATTTGGTGGCTGAATCTCCTAATCGAATCAGGAGACCCTTTAATCTCTCCAAATCGAATTGAGACCCTCCAAATTGATTTGGAAAGATTTGGCGATTTGGCTATAGACACAGCTTTATATGTTTTTTTCTACATACCTCAAGGTAGCAGGTGGCTTATGAATGCAGAGATGCTGGGGTGCATGGAGCATCCCATGGGAGTGTAGGAGGCTCCCCATTGCATTCGGCAGCAGACCCAGAAATGGACCAGAAGCACTTCTGGTCCACTTCTGGGTCCGCCACCGAGCCCAGGCACCCCCGGCCCAGCGACTGGTGCCTCCTGGGTCTGGGGGGGCATCTGAGGTCAGTCGCTGAGCCAGGGCGGATGTGGGGGGGGACGGGACAGGGCCGCGCACTCAGGAGTGGACCCAGAATTGGACTGAAAGTACTTCTGGTCCACTTCTGAGTTTGCCTCCAAGCACATGGAGGGCGCCCCCATGCTCCTGTGGGATGCTTCATCCACCCCAGCATTGCAGCGTTCATGAGCTGCGCCTTCTACCTTGTGGTATGTAGAAAAAACATTTAAAGCCGTGTCTATGGCCTAATCACTGATTTTTCCAAATCAGCATTGAATCTTCAGCTTGGATTCGGCCAAATTAAACCAGGGACAGTGATCCAAATCAATTAATCGAATCACTGTCCCCAGTTTGGGCCGAATCCAAATCAAATGCAGGCTGTTTGGCATACTCCTATTGCAAAGCGCTATCTCAAAAGAGATATAGCTTCCTTTACTACAGGGATGGAGTGACACTGGCTGCTTCACAGTGCCCAGCAACATACTGTACCATATTGTAATGTAAGAAAGGAAGTGAAGAATGCTTTAACCAGATGAAACTATAGGAACAGTTAAATAGACTACAACTGCTCAATTTAGCACTTGACTATCTCCTTGGGCTACACCCATTGTCTTGCAAACAAAAATAGGATTGGTCATCCTAATCTCAGCCTTGAGGGAAGTGAGGAACACAATCAGATTCACCGGTTATGTTTAATGTAGGACCATAGTGCTTAGCAAACTCTCTTTGAGTATCACTTGAGTCCAAGGGTTTAACCTATGATAGTGACTACATAGGGTTAGCTAGGTACTGCCTAGTACGTGATTTTATAACCCAGTCTGAAGCGGCATTGCTTTCTCCTTTTCCTCTGTATGTTGTAAATGCAACATGGAGCTATATTTCCTATTCAAATACTGTAATCATGGTCATATAACTCATACCCTTATAACATGCACTAAATCAGTCCTGCTCTACTGTTTCCACACAAGGACATGCTTTTAATACTTTCCGTTTGTAGAGCATTCTATGCACTGTGCATACGCCAACTGAATGAAGCACACACTGTTTCTCATTGCTGGTACATGCTGACAGTCTCTGACCCGTGCCTTTCACAGCATTCCTCTAGCCAACAGAATGTCATGGGGAAAGGATGGGAAGAAAAAGGGCAGGAAGGCATGCTTTTATGAGATCAATTTGGTTGAGTCCAGTCCCTTCTGTGCTTCCACAGCCCTGCTGAATCTATCTCAGACCCACCATATTACATCTGTGTGCACGAGGAGATCACTTCTTGCCCATGTTATGTATCTTAGGTTCATGTGATGAGCGATATGGAAGAGCCACCCTGATGTGAAATGTGTGGTATGTGGGTGCGTTTAGAAGGTGTGATTGCTCAGAGAAAAGGAAGTGAGATGGAATGCTAGGCCCTCTCTCTTTTTTTCTGAGACTCATCCATGCAGTACAACAGCTCTGTTGCTTTCTCAGAAACATTTGACTTGACCCCATAAAGATAAAAGGGAATTCTACGTTATATTTGTGTGTCTGTGGGATTTTCTCAGCAGCCAATGCTGATTCCCTTAACCCCTGTGGCACTGTTAAAGAATGGGTGTTCCTTTGCTTCCTTTCTTCTCTCTTATTAATAAGTTTATCAATACTTTGTTTAAAGAATCCATCATAAAAAAGAGGCCCCAAACCTGATAGGTGCCCAGTGCCCTCAATTTCCATTGAGTTCACCCCTTCTCAAAATGCACTTATTGACTTAAAAACATCTTGTGTTTCCCTGTTCTCCTAGCCCTTTGGTGCTTATCTGGCCCTGCAAGAAAATGTGATTCTTCCTTGGAATTAAAGCTGCTTATCAGAAGTTCAATGTCTGCATAAGATCTGATTTAACAGCAGAGAGATCTAAATCTAGTTATGATACATGCTGTAAGGAAAGTTTATCTGGGGCAAGATCTCCCAACTTTCACCATAAAGAATCTATTTTAATCACATGGCATGTTTTCATACTTGTTTTTTTTCAGTTGTACCATTTGCTGTATATATAGCAGCAGAGCTTTCTCAAAGATTTGACGGTGGGCTTGATTGCAAACATAGGAGGGAAGAATGGGATATATCTGTTAGTTACTCATTTAGAGATGATTTGGCCTGTAAACAAATATTGCAGACTCATGGAGGTGGCATATCTGCAGTGCCAAAGTGATGTTATTGTTAATTCTTGATTAGAGTGTATTTAACATGCCATGGAATCCCAGCTCTCTGCATCGTAAGACTATCAACGAGTTAATGCCAGAAAACTGGAATCCAGTTATAGCTAGCCAGAGGTCCAACAATTTATTCCTAGACAGAGTGAGAATGTTTGCTTTTATGTACTAAAGTGATTATTTAATGGAGAAATTGTACTTGAGAATCCAAAAAGGTGCTGCTGTGTCTTCTTTGCATAAAAAAAGAATATTCCTGATGAGAAATGTTGTGCTTATGCCTTGAAAGTGAGTTGATAAATCTTAGCTGACAAAAAACACTCTAATACAAAAACAACACATACGCAACTGGGATTTGCAATGGTTTATGTGACTGCTCCCATAAAAATGAGCTGTTCGAGTTGCATCTTCTCCCAGAAAGCTATAAATATGTGATTAACGTTCATTTGGCCAGTAAGCTGAAGTCAGAGTAGACACTGGCAGCACTAGCAAGGCATTTTTATGTTCAGAAGAACTACTTTGCACAGTGTATGTCAGTGTACAAAGCACCAACAGGCTTTCCTTCAGGATCAGGTGTATATGTGGTTGATTTATCCAACATACATAGTATGACCATTGGTAGAATACCCTCTTTAACTCCATTTAGTGTTGGAGTTTATCTGATTGCTCCACCACTTCTCCAGTATTCTAGTGTAGGAGAGGATTTTGTTCCTCTCATTTCTGTATGATTTCCCTTAGAAAATGATATAGAAGACAATCCCTTTGCTTCAGAAAATAAGCTGATTGCTTTAATGCTTTCCCATGTGCCTGTGAAAAAATTCTGTGTAAGGCTACATGTGACAATAGTAATTCATCATCCATTTTTGAAGCATCTGGTATATTAGAAGCTAGATCAGTCGAGCTAGGGACATGACTGAATGCTAGCAAGACAGCAGAGAGCTATGGAATAACTAGACTGTTTAAAAATCATTTGTACCATTTGTTCTGAAACAAACAATAGAAAGCACAGTTGGAAAAATACCTTTAATTTTACTTTGATTGCAATAGTAAAATGAATTAGTCCACGATTTTTGTGCACACTGAAATCACTTGCTAAAGCTTTCATTGGTGTAGGATAAGATAGTTAGTATATATTTGAGTATTTGGCAGAATACCCAAATATGTATCTTTAATGTATATGTGTAGATTGTTGTGATTATTTGTTTACATATCACTTCTTTTAGGTTGGCCAATTTGATAAATTGTAACCTACAGACCATCTTGACTCAACTGTTATTTCTTTCAGGTTGTTAAATCCAAAGAATTGCCATCACCAGGACAGCGCTACATTGATAGCAAGGTAGTTAAAACAAGAGCTGAAGGGGAATGGCTATCTTTTGATGTCACTGATGCTGTACACGAATGGCTCCATCACAGAGGTGATGACTAATGCTCTTCCCCTTCATCTTCCTATCTCATCTATTTTTTCATTACCTCTGAATTTTTTCAGGTTCATACTGTGTGTGAAAATAATTCTCTTTCCTTTCATGTTTTGCAGACAGGAATCTTGGATTTAAGATAAGTTTACACTGTCCATGCTGCACCTTTGTGCCTTCAAATAATTATATCATCCCGAATAAAAGTGAAGAGCTTGAAGCAAGATTTGCAGGTAACAAGAATAATGTATTGTTTTTCTGCACAAACGACTGTGATATTTGCTAATTAAAGATGGAAAAATTAACTTTTTAACGGTCTATAAAATATTTAAAACTTAGCTGATTTTAGAGCTTGATGAAGAACTACAAAGCCTTGTCTCCATATTGATGGGAAAAGATGATGTTAAGGACATATTTGCAAACCATGTCAGTTGACCTGGTCCAAAACTGAACTAGTAAGATGACATTGATATGAGCACAAATGGTTCAGTTTATCCACTCCTAGCCTAGCATTTTAGACCCAAAGCTCTATTAGTATCTCTCTTTGAGTTCATAGCACAGGTTCCAAAAAATATTGAATTCTAGGAGATCTTGAGAGGTCACCAGTGCAGTATGGGACAATAAGTGAGAAGACTCTGAACAGTTGCAGTCTAAAATTTAGTTGTTCACGCTGACTGCATCTAGACGTGCAGCCGACTATGCAGTTGCTACTTAGCAAGTAATAAATGACTGTGCAGAAACCACTGGTACTGCACAGTCCCGTCACTGCACATGTCGTTTCCAACCCTTCTGCCTAGTAACAACAAACTACCATGTCATAGTTTGTTGCTACTGCGCAGTAGTGGTGGTGTCATGGTTCTTGCCTGCCAATGCTACATCACCATAGCTCATCACTACGGCAGCGTAGCATCTCTTGTAGATACGCCCACTGGCATTAAAATGGTGCCGCTTTGAGAATTCAAGCTAGATAGTTTTTAGCCCTGCTGTAGGTAAATCTAATCTAATCTAGATGGTATTTGGCATACATATGAATTGTTTTTGCAGCATGTCTATGTGAACATAATGTGTTTTACAAGTGTGCGAGAGGGACAAGAAGTTCTTAGCATGGCAAATTTTTCTAGTACAGACAAGGCAATAGCCAACTGTTCTGCTTGCCAACTTCCTCCAACAAATGAGAAATATATCATCTTGACTTTGAAGGGCAACATTCCCAAAAGAGCCACTCACAAGACATAAAGAGTGCTGGGACACCAAACAGTTTGACTGATCTCAAGTGGTTGTTTTAGAATGGTGACGATTCTGCAAATGATGTAATGCTGTACCAAATCCCACAATTTATGAATACCAGTTATTTGAGCAATACTAATGGATCTTCATGCTCCCAGATAACATGTCAGCGTTCTTTAAATCTGACAGTAGTCCATTTTTATTTTAAAGAACTGAATTAAGTGCACAGAATAGCAATGACTTATTGTGAGTCCTAGGGACAGAAATTGCCTAATTCTTCCTGCAGTCCAATATAATTTGTCTGATTCTCAGTGGAAGTCCGTAGACCTGCATCACTTAAGAATAGTTGATCTTGTGAAGCATCATAGTATCGTTCACACAAAGAATCATATTGATTTCACATGGGTTTTTTAACCAATTATGGATATAAAATTAATTACTGGGGTTAGAACTATCAAAAGCTGAGTAATACCAGTACATGTGTGTGTGTTTGCATGTGTGCGTGTATGTGTTTGCATACTCAAGTTACTTAATAGGCACTGTAATTAGATAACCTTCAAACAGGGGTGAGACAGAACTGTGCTTGCTCTGGTTTTTCAAGCCCCTGAGGTTTCAGTATCATAATGAACTGTGGGGTTTGTTTGCTTTTTTTACTAAAAATAAGGGCCTGTAGATCATGTTTAAAGATTTTTGAGCCAAACCAAATGTTTCCCTCTTTAGTATTTGTTAATTCTCATTTGTCCAGATACACCAATTGAAGATTTGTCCCACTTGTTATAATGGGATCTGTGCCTTATTCCTTTTCAAGTATTATAATTTTAACTCCTGTATCACTGGTTTCAAATTTCATTCTAAGTAGCTTCCTGTATTGTTTATAGTAATTAAAAGACTTTAGAAGTATTTATCACATGTTTAAAAAATGGTATCCTTTATATTATAAAGTCCAATTTTCAAGTGCAGTTATTGATCATTGTAGTCATAAAAAGGTACAAGGAAAAAAATAATTTTGAAAACATTAAATAAGGCAGGGCAGTTAATTTTAAAGATTCCTCACTAAAAGCATAATATGAGCAAGTGTAGTTCAAGAAAGTTGTAATAGCTGTGGTCCTTTGTATTAATGTGTTGCCAGAGTAAAAAGATTCATAGTGATTTTAAATTAATTTTGAAAGGCTTCCAAGAGAATATTATACTTTAATAAATCTGTTCTTGGAGGATTTCAGAATTTTTATTATCAGGTGCAAATTAAGGGGCCAAAAGAATTTGATTTCATGAAGGAAAATCAGTAAAAGGAAATGATCCATATTGGGTAATGAAAAGGAAGACGGTGGGAGATAAGAGTATTTACAAGCATTTGAAGAGGTGTAAATATGAGGAGGAAGAAGAACTTTCCTATGTGGTATAATAGCGCAAAATGGGGATAAAGAGATTAATTAAGGAAAATGTGGATTAAATATCAAGAACAGACCTAAGGGTACCTTCTGTCCTTTAAAAATTACCAGTCTGTGAGAGGAGGTATGCAATAGTCTCTAAAGAAAAGCAACAAAAGCATTATCTCTTTGGTCATTAAAATCACTAAATGATCATTCTCTAACTTATTTCTACGGTTCCATTAATTACACTGTCAGGTCATTTAGATGGGCAATAATTTGGGGATCCAATATGATATCAAGCAAGAAGACCATATACCAATGGTATATATATATTTATATATACTGGTCATTATTATATTGGTCACATATATTTATGTGACCAATAACACATAAATGTGTTATTGGGCAGATCTCAGACTAGGATTTTTTCCCCCCATGACATATTCAGGTGATGTCATCATCACCTATTTTCTAAGAGATGCGGGTTTTTAAAGAGATGGTTTATATAATTTGTGTAGAAAAAACAACATAATGTTTATCACCAAAATGTATTTTTTGAAGGTATTGATGACTCCTACACATATTCCAGTGGTGATGTGAAAGCTTTAAAGTCCAATAAGAAAAAATACAGTGGGAAGACCCCACATCTTCTGCTAATGTTATTACCCTCCTACAGACTTGAGTCGCAACAGCCCAGTCGGCGGAAGAAGCGTGCTCTAGATGCTGCCTATTGTTTTAGGTAAATACAAATACTAATGTATATATGCATGCATATATATGTTTATATATGTAAATATGTATTCATATAAGTCTAAACCCTTTAAAGTGTAACTTGGTTGTTTACAACATGATTTGACATTTCTTTTTTACTAGGTGCTAGCCCAAAACTCTGTCCCTCATTCACAGCTATATTGTGTTGGTGGCAATTAAAATTGACAGGTCTATGTGCACGTGAAAACCTTACCTTACACTGATTGAACGCTCACCATTCCCTTTGAAGTTAATGAAAGTTGCTCATTACTTCATGAGCAACACTACCAGTTGCATAATCAAAGGCAAAAGATCATCCATCTATGGTTTACTTGATCCAAGCCCAGATGGTAGTCACCCTGGCAAGGTCCCTAGAGTATGACCTGAGGAAAAAAATCCATCTTGATTCTAAACCTGGCAAACAGTTAGCTCTGCGTATGTGAAAAGAATCATTGTGACTAAGCATCTGATTCTAGTTGTAACCTGGTTGCCAAGTAGCCATCTTTCTTTCTGTATCCCATGACTGAAGATTTGGTCAGTGTCTCATGGGATAAAGAATTACTTGGTCACAATGATTCTTGTGACATGGAAGTTGCTTATTTTTTCACATTTCCCCGTTTCCATAAAATCTTACATCTTCCAAACACTTTTAGTTCGGTACAGGTCGAAACTGTAGATTAGTTTCTCAAAAAATATGTCTCTGCTTTGACATAGTGTGGTAATTAAATTAGTACTTGCTCCTTATATTTCAAATCAGGGAACACATTAGTAGAGAGATATCTGAGGGAAAGACTTTGAAATCTCCCACTGACTTTATGGGGTGAGAATCTTGCCCTTGGTACTCAGAATTGAAGTCATGGCTTAAGTCCTGTTGGGACTCTGAGGTTGCAAAGCAGAAAGCAATCGTATGGATTTTGTCCCCTCTGCTTCTGGGATGGACTGATACATTTGTGTTTCTTTTTATTTCCAGAAATGTGCAGGATAATTGCTGCTTGCGTCCACTTTATATTGACTTCAAGAGGGATCTTGGCTGGAAATGGATTCATGAACCCAAAGGGTATCATGCTAATTTCTGTGCAGGAGCCTGCCCATATTTATGGAGCTCTGATACTCAGCACAGCAGAGTAAGATCTACCTTTTGACACTTTAGATTTTAAATTAGAGTACCTGTGTTTAGAACAAGGGGAGGAGGGGGAGGGGAATGTTGAATGGTATTTCCAGAGCTGTTTTCACCATTAAATGTCAAAAACTTTCATTGGGTGAGGTACTTATTATTTTAATAACTTAAAGTGAAAATGACCTGTTACACATATTCCACACTTACCAAGAAGAGAGTGCCTGAGCCTGGCCCCTAGTCCAGCTAACAAGATAAGCCTAACCCCATATTTTTCAGAAGCTAGTATATATTAGTGTTGAAAGCCTTCTGCAGTCCTTCTGCTAAGGCTTTTCTTTTTTTCTTCCCACAAGACAGGGGAAGATATCTTAGACTGCCACTTCCTGAACTTTGCCTGGTCTATAGTGGACTTTGGCTTCCAATGTTGTATAGATCTGTTACTTCATTAATTTGGCAAGTTCAATGAAAAATGATCAAAGAAGATTGTATTCCCTCTTTTGATCTACTTGCAAATTCCAGAAGAATTTTAAAAATGGAACTTCTTTGCAAATTGGTGGATCTGGAGCACTGTGGTCAGCATCTGGATTCACACTAAGCACAATGGCTCCTGTTCCTCAAGCCTTCTTTAACCTATCAAATTGGCATTGGCTGTTTGGTATCAGCACATTAAATAATACTTTTCTTCTAGTATGAGAAAAAATATAATCCTGTTTTCATCTATTGCTGGACACCAGCAATTTGGTATAGATGTTCTTTATGTAGGTGGCAGGCTTGTCAATAGTGTACCAGTGATGTCAACAAGACCCAGCTGCAAAAGAGGAACATAAATTCCATCAATGATACACATTAGTAGTATGCAGTTTGGAGCAGCACTTGTTTTTCAAGGAACAAGGAAGAATAACTGTCATGGTCACAAATATGTGGTTTGGACAGCAACCCAAGAAGTCAGATTGCTTAATAAAGTAGCTAGTGTTGCTGTGCTGAACAGATCTTCTGTCTTTCAGCTGAAAACGCTCTGCTGAAGCTCTAGGAAAAAGGTCACTTAGTGTTTAACTAACACATTAATGGCATCCTTGGAAATACCTGTATATCATCAGTGGGTAACCTACATATTTCCCTTAGAGAAAACCATTCTGCACATGAATTTAATTCGGTGTGAAAACTGTAGAGCCGCAAACTTTTCTTTTGCTGATTCCCAACAAGAATTTCGCTGTCAACGTCCTAATTATAACAGGGCAGCAATAATGAACTAAACTAAGGAGCAGCATGGGGCAGAAGCAAAGGAATGGCTAGTTCATTGATGGGCTCTTTCCTTTCTTTAATGCATTTTGAAAACCAGTGACCTGAAATCTGAAAGGATAAATATCACTCTTTCAGCTCCCTCTGCATTGATTTAGAGGACTGAATTTTCAATATAGTGTCCATGAATGAACCTTCATGTCCTCTGTACCCTGAAAAAATATGCATGCTCAAATCAAATCATTTCATAGGCAAAATAAGTAATTGAAAAAATAATTTCTTCTCTTATTTACGTGCTGGGACCTGATTTAAGAATTATGCCTTTCTCTCTAGACATTAACTATATATTACTGACATTTTAAAACATTGTAAAGTGTAAAGCATTCACTTAAGTTTTATGGGGAAAAGAAAAAAAAAGGACAAAAGGCTTTCTTGTTAGCATGTTACGCATGTTATTTGCTTGTTATGCACCATTTTTTGCACTGGATCTTAAGCAGTCGAAAGGATGAGATCTTTATCCCATGAAGTTAATAATGTAGGTAGAGGGCTTAATATATCAAGGATATGCAAGACCCCCCAAATTAAAGAATGCTGAGCATTAGCACTAATTGTAATTAATGAATTAATAAAATACATATTGTGTGGCCCTGAAATTACATAGAATAACATTGTACAGCAAATGATCTGTGCCAAAAATGCACAAAGTGATACAATTTCAGAACAATACCAAATAATGAGGTGTCCTATTTATAGACAGTCCTAAGTGAGCATCATGGAATAGGTTTTTAGAATCTTGGCATATACTGGCAGATATACAAATGAAAGATATTGGGGAAGTGAAGATGAAGGCATGGGGAGCTGGCAAAAGGGGAAGATTACTTGGAAAGTTTTATTGATATATTATGTGCGGTTGCAATATAGCTTTTAATATAAGTAAATGAAAGGCTTTCCATTGACTCCAGTGGGTTTTTGATCTTTGGAACAACTGATGCTGGAGGTTTGAGTAAAACATTGGTTTGTGGAGGGCCTGGAAGTTAAAGATTAATATCTTCATCTCACTATTTCACTTTCTCTTTTTAGGTACTGAGTTTATATAATACGATAAATCCAGAAGCCTCTGCCTCTCCATGCTGTGTATCCCAAGATTTGGAACCCCTCACCATCCTGTACTACATTGGCAAAACACCTAAAATTGAACAGCTTTCCAACATGATTGTGAAGTCATGCAAATGCAGCTAGAAGATACCCCTGAAATGGCATGATGTGTGTGTATTAAAAAAAACAACCAAGGATAAAAGAAAAAGGGAGAGAGAAAAGAAAAAAAAAAGAAAACCTAGGTTCATCAGTGTTAAAAAAAAAAAAAAAAAAGAAAAAAAAGAAGAAAAAAGCGGTACTAGTCTGAACTGTTTGAAAGTTTGTTTTGTTTTGTTAAACTGGCATCTGAAGCAAAACGTTGAAGGCCTTTATCTTACATTTCATCTACTCAGTTAGTGAGATAGACAAGAAGCAAAAAAAGAAAAAAAAAACCTTTTAAAAAATAAACACTGGAAGAATTTGTTAGTGTTACTATGTGAAAGGAAAAAAACAGGAAAATCCTATTAAGTGGTGTTGCTGTATCTGTCCCGTGCCTTACTTGATCTCTCTGTATTGTTACATGATAGGCATCCTACCCATTCCTTTTTTAGTTTTAGAGCTAACAGTGCATTATTTATTTGTGTATAAAAATACAAAAAACAAAAAAACTATCCAGCGAACATTTCATTTCCATTGGGGGGATGGGGGGAAGGGGAGTGGACAAAGTGGAGACCAAACAAACTGCCAGAAATATGTTTAATGCTTAGGAAACTGGAGCTCAAGAAGTCCTGAAAATATAATTAGTTTAGTTCAATTAAAATAGAAGTCAGTTATTGCATTTTTGACAAAATCTGCCATATTTTACATGCCAGCTGCCTATGGAGGCTTCTTGTAAGGTCTCAAACCCTTGTTTTAAATAGTGAAAATTTACTAATAAAGGACATTCTGTTTCAGTCTCAAAGACAAGTGTTTAAGATTTTTTTTACTGTAAATGATTTAAATGTCAGTTTAGTAAACCAGTGGAATATTTAACATGTACTGGTCTAATCTTCAGACCTTAATATGTTGCTGTATAGCTATGCTATGGGATTTTTTGTTCTTTTGGTATATGTAACCATACCTAGAGTATTACAATAGGTGGGTAGTACAAACCAACTTAATTGGAAACATATCTGTAGATCTCTATTGTAAACTATTAAAAAATTAAGTACTTTATGTGTAATATGTAAATTTTCACCATATTTTTGTATTCTGTAATACTGTCAACTCTCTTGAGTTGGAATTTGAATTTGGGGCTCTTTTTTATCACTCAGAATCATGTGCTTCCCTCCAGCTGGCCAGTATGAGTAGAGTCCCTATATTTTGACTTGCACTACAAATACATGTTTTATAATATTTGCTATACATGTGCTTTGTATATTGTTCATCATTATGACATAAGCTACCTGACTCCATTTGCTTTGGGATTTTTTGTTCTGTTTTACAAAGAGGATGGATTAACCTATTCTTGTTTTTTCCCACCCTAGTTTATCCACATTTGCAAAGTTTTAAACCCAATTTGTATACTGGCTAAAGACAGTCCAACAGATGGTTAGGGAGCTAGATTTAAAAAAAAAATAGAAGAAGGTTTCACAGTCTGATTGACAGAAGGCAGACCCTTTAAAAAGCAGTATTTACCACCATGTAAAGGACTGGTACAAACTGTATGCACCACAGAAGCCCGCAAGACTGGAGTGGGACTTCACAATTGTATAAGTCTTGTGTTGGACCTCTTGCACATGAATGACTGATCTATTGTTGATTTGTGGGGCTGATCCTGTCCCCACTGAGGTCTAGAGAAGTTTTGCTATTGATTCCTATGACAGCAGATTAAGCTCCATTTGGGTCTTGATGTGCAAAAATATTTGCAGGGGCAGGCCCTACATTTGTGACTTCTGCTGAATTGTGTTTAATCCTTTTCATGGAAAACAGTTTTTGTCATATCTTTTAAAACAAAGAAACAGGCTCCTACGAAATGCCCTTTGGCTCTAATAATTTTGATAATTTTCTAGAGAGAACAAGAAATATCAGCATCCTAAACATTATTAAAAAAAAAGATTTTTAAACAGGTGTATGTAAAAGCATGTGAAATAAGTAGTTCAATTTATTTTCTATTATAAACTCTTCTGAGTGGCAGACCTAGAAATCTATGCAAAGAAATATGGTAATTGGAAGAAGACAGCATCTCCCTCATACAACACAGGAAGATGGCTTGGGCCTTATGGTTAAACATTAGGTTACTGATCTTCCACTGTGTTAACTTCAGTGGAACTCCTTTGGCGTTGGTGGAGTAACACCTGTGTAAAATGGAAGCAACATGATCAAGAAGCAGGCCCAAGATGTGGGATCTTTCTCTTTGATTTGCACAGACAGCTTCCATGGATTTCATTTGGAGTCCCCGATTTATTACCGAGACCAAAATATAGCCCTATGAATAATCTAATCCCACCTATTTTTCTCAATGCAGAGGAGGTACATGAATTGTTGTTTTTCTTTCTTTTTTTTTTTTTAATTAGTGAACTGAAGTTTAACAAATTAAGGTCCAATCCTACAGACACTCTCAGGGGCCATATTGGAGAAATCCAGTAAAATTAAAGAAATTCCTCTGGGTATGAAGAACTGTAGCTGCTAGTGTTTGTCTCACATGGCCTTAATCTATTTTATTAACTTCAATACAAACACTATATTTTTTTTGGCAGGGAAGGAGGGGAACGGAACACAAGTAAGCAGCATTAAAAAGAAATGCTTGAAATTATCTTAAATTAAATATACCCCAAAACGCTGATTTTCTAGTTTGATGATTTGAAAGAAAGAATGGGATATGATCAGATGCACTTCTCATCCCAGGAAGAGCACACACCAACTGCTGCAGCTTCCTTAGCCTGACGAAGGGTTTTTGAACCCGAAAGCTTGCTTAATAGCTATTCTCCAACCATTTGGGTTGGTCTAATAAAAGATATCAAATTCACCCAAGGAACCTTGTCTGCCTATGTCCTTAGACCAACACGGCTACAACCTAAACCCCTTCTCATCCCAATACACTCGTCATGCGCTGGATGCAGCCAGAAGTTTGAGTTTGGGTTTTTCCATATATTTTGCAAGTCTGGAGAAAAACACCTATGGTTATTATACACAAATTGGTTAAAGTTTTGGGTTTTTTTTCTATTTTTTCCCCTCAGAAAGGCACTGATAGTATTTGAAAAATTCTATTTTGAAGCTCCAAAGTCCTTTTCCTTTTTGGCTTATTAGGCATGTATTTCCATTTTTATTGACAAGGACATAGGGTTCAATCCTACAAAGTGCAGAGCTCCTTCTGGGTGAAAATCACCTCTGCAGAGGGTCAATATGAGGCCTGGGCACCACTTATGTCCACTGTAAATCCTCACAATGAGGTGGAAGTAGGACTTAGTGATACAAAGGCCTTGAATTGCGAGGCCCCCCTGTGAGCCGCTGATCCCCTCTTTTCTCAGTGAGGTCATTGGGAACCGAGGACATTCAGCACTTGGCAGGAGATGTTCAGCACCTCAAAAGATCAGACCCAAAGGTGGGGCTGAGGGAGAATCTTAGCACTTAGCCGGGTGGGTTAGGACAGCATTTTTTGTGTTTAGAAACAATACAATTGTATGGATGGCATGGTTAAAAACGAAAAGGAACCTAAGAACAGCTGTGTTGTATTTTGGTGACCGATTACTCTGTATTTTAACACATTGTATGTCTGTTTTTGTGGTGCTCTAGTGGTAAATAAATTATTTCAATTATATGCTGATGTCGCTTTCATGTGGCAGTATTCTTCTGGCAGAGGAAATTAGTGCACTGCTCAGCCTAACCTGAGCATGTCTTACAAAGCAGGTTTTGTACGCTTGACCTTGACATCGTACTCTGGGTGGCTCAATCTAAGAAAAACTGTCCTCGATATTAATATTCTTCTTTCTGTTTTAGTGAAAATGTTATTTAATCTAAGCACTGCTTCCTCCCCCACCCCCACTTCCATTGTAGTATAAATCTAGGGATATTGATCCCCAGAAAGTTCTTTCAAATGAACATAATGTCAGTGAAATGTGTTCTGGATTGACTGTCCTGAAGAACAAAGTCCTCTGTATGCACAGAGCATGTACAGCATAGGCACTGGCACTGCAAACTGTTCTAACACCACCTCATCACTTGTATCAGGCACAATCAGGCCAAAGATTCTCTACAACAGAGACTGACAGCAAGGATACAAATGTGTGGGCTTCCCTTCGAGATTGCAGATTTGAAATCCAGACAAGTTCAGTTTGGTTGTTCCTGAGCATAATTTTCATCTTTATTCTGTTCAGCAGTGCTATGTGAAGTGAAAGGGTGACCTGCATCCAGTTCTCAAAGGAGAGCTGTCCACATGGGAAATGCTCTCCTTGACCTCAGACAGAACTCAGTGAAATCAGACAATGCTGGCAAACATGAACTTCATAATCCTTGTGAAGTCTTGTGCAATTTCCCACACAGCCCCATTAAGAGGTCACAGTTCTGCTGGCCAATACTTCTATCACTTGTTGGTTAAGCGTGTGAGATACTGTACCTGCAAACCACCATATATGTATATTTGTTTGACAGCATCCAAGAAGTAATTCATGGACATTGGGGGTTTTTTTTGGACAAGCAATTGGATGCCAATTTTTTGGTTACAAAAAGAGGTTTTCTGACCCCGTTCTGCAGTTTACAACTACATCATCCAAACAAATAAGGAGATCAATACTGTAACTTATACTGGCTAGACCTTCCGTAGTTATTGCCACATAACTAAACATAACTCCTGTAAGGGAGGGTTGCAAAAATTTGGACCAACACATGCCAAGATAAAAATATTGTGTTAAAAGCCTTCCAAAAACAGGCCCTGATCCACGGAAGTACTGACCACTGTAATTCCTGTTGGTTTCAGTGGAAATTAAAGGTACATACTATTCTTGGAGTGAAGGAAACACATCTGTTTATGCACAGTTATTAAGTCAATTTTATTTATTTGTGAATATCTTTAAAAATTATTTGACAATTTATCGATGCTAAAAATAAACTTATGGCCCACTTCACCACATTACTCCAGTTTTACACTGGTTCATCTTCATTTATTTTAAAGAGAGTTATGCCAGCATAAAAATGAGGTAATGTAAGGTTATTAGGCCTTCAACTTTCATTGTAACCATTTAAAAGAAGGCTTGCTAAGGGATGCTGCCTTTGGACATAAAAGTGTGAACAATGTGACCACGCAATCACATTCATACCATTGATAATCCTTGAACATTTTTGCATGTCAGGCACCTACATTCAAAACACTTTCAAGTGCTAGTTGCTATATTTTTTACAAGTAATGGATGTTTAACTGGGGCTGGGGGGAGGTAAATGTTGGTAGGGATTTTTAGTTAGAAAAATCATTGTGGTTCATATCATTAGATAGAAATGGAATAGAGGGAACAGAATGTGCTGGGGAAAGATTTTATGAGGTGGGGCTGAAAATATGAGAACTGTCCCATGATAAAGAGATGTAATCAAACAGCTATGCATAATTAAAAGTAGACACTTCATGCAGAATATTTCTGTGTTGGACCTGTCTTTGCCCTTCACTAACACAGCCTCTCTAAACTCTATCAGTGAAACTCCTGCTGTTGTGCTTGAATCAAGCTGTGGTTAATAAATGTGGAATATTCAATATAGGAAAAACCCAAACCATGTAAATGTCTTGAAAATCAGTTTTTAGGCCAAGAACTGCCTCTTAGATCAGACGGAACAGATTCTATGAGGAGCCATGAGTTCTGGAAGAAAATAAACCGAGAGGTTATGTAATTATATGTGGTTATAAAGTAGATGTGAAGTAATGTAGTTGGCTTGTCAGTGGGTATGGGTGTAACAGTAATTTCTTCATCTGTATAAAAAGAAAATTAAATGGAACAGAAAACTGATGAGAACTCCCAATCAAATTTGATATGCTCGTTTAATGAAGTAACCTGTTGGAATCTAATACAGCACCCCATGGGCATAAACCTTTCTTAAAACATATTGTGGTGGTCCAAGAAACTAATGTGGCCTTTGAATGGGGTGATTTAAAACCAAACTAAGACACTGACAGGCAGGGGAGGGGTCAGTGATCCCTGAGCCCTGGGTCTCTACTAGTTGCACACACTGTATGCTGAACCCAATTAAACAACCCCTGTGACTTTCACCTAAAATGTTTGCCATAAGAAAAGGAACAAACTTAGATGCAAATGGCAAGCTGAGCTTCAAATTTGTTATGCTTTGAAATACAGCATGGGTTAGAAATGGTCCAAGCCAGAAAGTTTGCATGAGGGTACAATTTTTTCCAAAGTCTGAGGTCAGTTGGAAGTAATGTTCAAATCTGAATCCACACTTTCCCAGATTTGGGGGGATTTGGTCAGGACCAGTCCCTAAAACTGACACTCGAAACAGATGTTACATGTGTCCTGTGACATGCTGTGCCTGTCCCAGAATAGAAAGGTCCCAGGATTGGCATGTATACACTTCACCCTTTCAATCAGGTTTTAGCGAGCAGCTGAATGCACTTCCACTGTTTTGCCATTAATTCAATAATATAATCCCAGGACACCCCTTCAGAGACATACTTTGTGATGTCCTGGGACAAACAGTTAGCACCACTTATCCCATGAATCTTTTTAGGGTTTGTCCGGCAACATTGGAAATGGATGTCTAAACAGTTGCACTTTGCCCCGGGATAAAACGACTTCTCTCAGGACAAATGTGATGTCCATTTGTAGCCTGATTGATAAGCAGCAAGTCACTGATGGCATATGCAGGCACCACTCTGCTGACCTAGTTGCAGCCAATTACAATAGTAAGGTGAACTTTGCTGTGCAGAAAGCTCACCCAATGCTATGTAACACTAAATGAGTGACTGCAGTGAGTCTCTAGCATTTCTCTGGCCTCTGGACCCACTTGAATAACTAACTTCTCCTGTGCCACATCCCATGTAGGGCCCCTTTTGTTTTTCTTGATGCACAAAAATCTACCTATCTAATAACCATTTGCTATAATGGCACTTTTGGATAACTGGTGGTAAGATACTGAGCTTCTAGGTCACTTCATTAATCAACTTGTAAGTCACCTCACTAAGAAAAGACTGAAAGTCCCGCAGTCTAGTACTTATCTGATAATGTCACTGCTATCAGACAGAACCCTATGAAATGAACTGATGGCTTCTAGTTTCTAGTGCAAAGTGGTTGGCAGTATCAGCAGAGTCCAAGGATATACAGATTTATCTCACCCATTTAGAAAAGTGTTATTATGAAGGAAAAGTATGCAGCAGTTCATGATCAAGGTATGCATTCCATCATGGTGTGTAACCTGCTTTCTTAGAGGTGGTCTGGATCGATGTAATTTGGGAGTTATGTCTTGTTTCAGATAGATTATGGAATATGCGGTTTCCTTCAGCTTTGTGACAGAATTTAAATATTTTTTTCCAAAATATATTAAGCCAACATTTTTTTCTCCACCATTCTCCAGCTATTTATGCAATATATATCATGAATCACACCAGGTCAATTCAGGTGGGAAGAGACAGGTGCACATCAAGCAGAACAATGAGGGTGCAGAAGGAAGATTTTCATGGAAAATTAACTGTGTAAATGTGAAACACTATAACTTGAACCAAGACATAAATTAATTGTATCAATTTATGCTTCTGTCTTTGTTATTTGATTTATTAAACCTGTCTCTGGCTGTTTCAAATTCCCATGCCTTTGCCTTGGGATAGAGAAACTTTTAGGGAGGTAAGAATTTAGGCAAGAATCACTGAAATCGCAAGTATGTTCCAATATCTTAAAAGTTGTCAAATGTGTATAGATTTAGTACAAAGGAACATTTAGGAGACTTGCTAAATCCCAAATGCTTTACAAAGGACCTTCTCTGGTTATTGCATTGCCCCTCTAACCTCAGGCTCTTAGTCCCAGATTAGTAACACTTCCTTTTTTGGTGTACTAGTGGATGCTTATGTGACATCTGCCATATTAGCTAACACATCAGACTGACTTGGACAACTCTAGAGCTGAAAGCATGAGTTTCTACAGCTTAATGTGTGTTATACGGGATGCTGTAATACAGGGCAGTCCAACTGACAGCAACAACCCTCGTGGGATTAATTTGCAGCCCCTGGCTCCCAACCAGCTGTGACTTCGCCATCACTACAACTCCCCTACAACTGGGGTCTCCAGGGCTCCCCCTCTCTCCTCCGGCTTCCACTTCTTGCCCCTGCCTCATGGGGTAGGGTGGCACAGCACAGCCCGTGGTACCAGCAGAGCCCATGGCCCAGGGTGCCCATACAGATACAGTGTAGTGGGGGAGCCTGTGACCAGGAAGCTGAGTATGAGGCCCAGCTGCCCGTGCCTTGTAAATTATGCTCTGTGAATGATTCAGTGAAAGTGAAGAGAGAAAATGATGTCCCTGTTTTCACCTTTGCTACTATATGATGGAGGCAAGGGATCCTAAAGCCTGAGAGATGGCATCTTGGATGAATTACATGATGTGTGTCCCCCTCCTCCCTTGTAAAGCAATACAAATGGAATCAGTATCTCTTATCTGCTGCACAGGAGGACATTATAAATTGTTGCCCATGGCGTTACATATGCAAAAATAAATTGCAATATTTTGCAAGTATGAAACCCATATTTGTAAACATGCATCACCGCAGGAAGTAACTGTGCTTGATGCACTTGCCTGGGTCTATATTTTGCCTGAGTACATGAATGTGGAGCAAGTGTG